AAATTCAGAAAATAATTTTCCACCAAATGATCACATTATAGAAGGAATGAAATTATATACATGGAAACTTGGATACTTATGTTACCAGTTGGACAAATCCATTCTCCTGTGTGTAACCCTGCTAGGGTAATTATGGCTTCTTATGACCACCTGAATTTTTTTGGACAGAGGTTGCTATTGGCCAACTTTGGAGAACTAATATTTTTGTGTTCTGTACCCCATCTTTGTTTCCAGACCTCTGTGCACACCAACAATGCCCTGAATACCAAACTCTCTGATAATTACTATAAATGCATTATCTGGTTTAACACTCCCAAATCATCATGATGTGTGTCTATGACCACTTTTCAATGAGAAATCTGAGGCACTAGATAATGGACATGAAGGGAATAGACTGCCCTGGACAGACCGGGTGGGCTACCTTGGTTATCACATAAAGTCACAAACATGGAAGTGATCAGAGAGTTTCACAGTAGAAACTTATGAATAAGCTCAAAGGTGGAATCACTGGAGAAGAAAGACTAATGAAGTGCCAGCCCCCTAAGGTCTCATCCATTCCCTGGGAAGCCACCACCAGCAGCCTTGAAGGCTTATTTTAGATGACTTCCCCATTAGAACATGGACATCTCAATGGGCTAAGGACATAGAGCATATGACATGGGCTAAGGATTTTATGAACATAAGACTCCATCTTCAGTCTTTCATGTCTTGGTTAGGTTTGGCAGAAGACGGGGATCTTCCACACAACCTTGGAAGCGCAGGGACACACCCTCATTTTCAGTTTTGAGTTAGTGAAGTCGATTGTAAAATCAGTCACACAACAGTAAAATTGCTTTCACTTTTTGGGAGCTTGTTTGATTCCAGGTAGCATCCTCCTCGACAGCATTTACTAATATGCAATCTGTTCAGTTAGTCAATTCTGGTTTTTCAAGAAGGTCTGAGAAAAGGGCTCAAGATCAGTTCGTATCACGCTTGCTTTGAAGAAACCCACTTATGTTTGTTGAACCCAAGGCCCCTCAGTCCTTCCTGACAACAGATGCTTTTTCCTGAAGCACACCATGAGCTGCCCAGAGACACACTTTAGGGAAAGCTCTTTTATGGGATGAATAGAACACCACTTAGAGTCTGCTTGTGCCCTTAAAGCAAAAGGCATATACCCAATATACTTCACACACACATAGTGGACAGAAATCTAAAGCTTTAATGGAATTGGTGAAATTGAAACTCAAATCGATGGTCAACATGTATATTTTGTCACAGTTCTGCATAGCTGAATTAAAAAAGAATTCTGCATAGGGCCAGGCATCTTTAATAAAGCATGAGTTCTAACAACTAATCTCCACTTGGCACATAACCTGTGGGACTCCCATCAACAACTTTCTATGTATTATTAATAGCAAGTAATGGTAACTTAAAAAATTAACTCAAATTTTCTCATAAGAAAAAATTGGAGGAATATTATAGCAGGAAGATAATGAGTTTCTGTGAAAGAAAATTCCTGCCAATGGGAGATCAGACTAAGAGGCAAAAGCAGGACATAAGAAAAATTCAGCTTCATTTGAATCTTCTAATAAATTGAATCCTTGGAGTATTGGATGAAAAGCAGGGTCCCAGAATACATTCCTTTTTATATATACAAACAAATACACATTTACATCAGTATGTATTAATACTCTAGTGTCATGTAACAAAATTAGCATAAACTTAATGGCTTAAAAGAGTACTTTTTTTTTAATCATCTCACAGTTCCATGGGTCACACATCTGGGCCCATGTAACTGGTTTCTCTGCTCTGTCTCATAGGCTGAAGTCAAAGTGTCCAGAGTTGCAAACTTCTCTGAAGCTCTGGGTTCTCTTGCAAGCTCTCTGATTGTTTGAAGAATTTAGTTCTTTGCAATTTTAGGACCGAGTCCCTGTTTTCCTTAGGCTGGAGGTCACTGGAGCTCCTAGAAGTTGCCCTCAGGTGCCAGGCACATGGCCCTCTCACAGTGTAGCAGCTAACTTCTTCCAAAGCCAGCAGGAGAATCGAGAGAATGGACATGTCCATCAACCTAAAAGTTTCCTTGTTCCCTATTGTCACCCCTCCCTCATGCACTGTGTCCTTCTCAGTCCCATGGAGCCGCTTCTCTGCTTTCTCACCCTACATTAGTTTTCATTTTCCATAATTTTATGTTACTTCCTTTTGTTGGATTCTTTCTCTCAGAATAATTATTTTCAGATTCTTCTGTGCTGTGCACACATCAACAGTTCATTTCTTTTATTGTCAAGTAGTGTTATATTTGGATGTAAGATGAAGTATTTAGTTATTACCTGCTGATAGACATATGGATTGTTTCCAGTTTACGGCTATTACAAATAAAGCTTTTATGAGCATTCATGTACAAGGATTTGTATGGACATAGACTTTCTTTCCTCTTGGGTAAATATCTACAAGGGAAATGGCTCGATCATATGATAAGTGTGTTTATAAGTTTTTAAGAAAATGTCAATAGTTTTCAAAGGGATTGTGTGATTTTACATCCCTACCAGCAGGGCAGGAGGGAGAGTTCCCGTTGCCCAGAAGCCCACCAGCACTTGACTGGCAAGTTTCTGGTTTCTTTTGTTTTGTTTTAGCCATTCTAATATCTAATTTGTGGTGATTTACTTGTGGTTTTAATTTACTGTTTCTAAAAATTATCTCAGCATATCATAATTTGATATTGTAAGTGAATGCATCATATGAAACCTCAAAAAGCAGTTGAAAAGAGAAGTGCCTGTCTCGTGTTAAAATGTGTGCTATGAGGGGTTAATGAACAAAAGAACAGACTTTGTTATCAGAGGTTTCCGTCTAATGAGCCTGAATTGACCTTCTTTATCCTTGAGTGATTCCCGTCGCTGGCACATGTAGCTCCTGCCATCATAAAGTGATGTTAAACTTATTAATAAAGACCTGTATTTTTAAAGCAAGGGTCCATAAACAGCATATGTTTTAAGTCCATTTCAGCAAGGAGCCTGGACACTGGCCCGGCCAGGTGGGCACAAAGTCAGGAAGGGAAGGACAGTGGCATATGGCATTTTCAATCTGGGGATGACAGTGCTGCATACCACCAGCCTGAGAGATCCCAGATGAGGTTTAAAGCATTCCTATCATGTGGCTTCCATTTCAAGTGAAATAGAGCGAGCTCACACGTGTCCTGTCTAGTTTCTCACACCATTGAGTTTATGGCCTGAATTGGGCTATTTTTTTCATTCGGGAGGCAGCATCCAAAAGATGCCATGATCAAAGACGCTGTAAAGGGAGGAAAATGCAGTCATCTGTCTTCCGGTGTGTGTTGCTATGGACAGGAGCAGCACCTTGACAGGGTATTACATCAAAGACGCCGCGGTGATCACTTCACATACTTTCTGTTAAAAGCCTATGATGTCACCAACACAGAGAACTCCGGAGTATTTTCCCCTGTAAAAATAATAAAAAATGAGGGATTGTGAGTGAAGAAATCTAGTTAGAATAGTGACAAAATCATGACTTTAATAGATGTCCAGGTAAAGCTGATGGTGTGGACACACATGGCTACTTTCTGTCGTATTGGAAATTCACTAACAAACTATTAAAGATATTAAAGGGATATTTTTTCTAACCAGAAACCCACAAAGACAGTTCTTACTGTGTCTGACTACATGACAGAGCTGAAGTAATGACATGCTCATTGACACGAAACAACTACCCTCCAAACCAGATGAGCCCTTAACTCGGATTGGAAGGGAACTGCACCAGAGACAGAAATCGATCATGGTTTACAGCACTCACGTGTGGATAGTGCTCCCCTAGTGCTCCGAGCAAACACTGCCTTTTGACCTAACAAAGTGTAGCTTGGCCATATTATGATGACGGAAGATGTGACTGCATCAGTGTTGAAGATGCAGGGAGGGAGGTGGGGAGTTAAGAGCTAAATCCCTATTTTCCATCATGCACAGTGAATGGACAATGCCTGATGGAAAATTCTCATTAGCTCTATGGGCTACCTATCAAAATGCTTAACTAAAAATTGATGGGGGAAGGATGGAACAGTTCTCCTTTTTATAATACAGTTTAGAGAGCAGTTTATCTCTTATTTTCTATGTATGTTTAACATTGACAAATATCATTTTAGAAGTGTGCCCATAATTGAATGTATTGTGTGTTGTGGATTTTGCTTTGAATGAAACATCCTTTGTTGTCAAATGGAGGAATCTCCGTGTGGTGCTCTGTCCAAAGTCAAACCCAGGACCCTTACATTTGGCCCTATTTCTGGGGATATAGAGTTTAAAATTTTTGCCAAATAACTATTTTAGTGCTTCGGATTGATCTTCATAATTGTAGTCTTAAATTCCAACCCCCCAGCATTCACTATACCAAACCTTCAGATCTCTCTGCTCAGCTCCCAGGACCTTCCAACCTGTGTGCCAGGGAGATTCCTGGTAGTGAGGGAAGGGAGGAGAAACTGACAAATGTCACTGAGGTATTAACCAGGAAAATCTGGTGAAAATTTCTTAGTGACTAAAAGTCGTTATCATTTGGATACCTACCAGTCTATCCCTTTCATTCCAGAGCTTAAAATATCCATTAATCACAAACTGAATATACCGTGGTTCAAAAAACAGGTAATGGTTCCTCATGTTAACTTTAATCTTTTAGATAAGATAGCTAAATTTAACATCTGAGTAATTAGCATTTTGGTCACTTATTAAGTGAAAGGAAGATGATTTATATGGAAATCATGATTTTTATTCACATACAGTTATGTCCATTGTCTCATTTTCATTATTGACACAGGAGAACTTGTGCAGATCCTGTTGGAGTTGCATTGAAAACAGAGCGTTCTCCTAAATGCCTAATTTAACAAAAATGGGTTTTAAACCTTGTAGAGTGGCTGATGGGCATATTAAGATACGAAGTGTTAGAGAGCCCTGTCTTTCGATAGAGAAACACCTGGTTCTATTTATGCTGTGTGCTGAGCACACCCCACACTTTTTCTCTCCCAGGAGTACCAGCCTTGTAATACCAACCCCTGCCCTGAGCTGAAGAAGACCACACCCTGGACACCCTGGACGCCTGTCAACATCTCTGACAACGGTGGCCACTATGAACAGCGATTTCGATACACGTGCAAAGCCCGCCTCCCTGATCCAAATTTGCTGGAAGTGGGAAGACAGAGAATTGAAATGCGGTACTGCTCCAGTGACGGAACCAGCGGCTGCTCCACGGATGGTGAGTGGGGACTCCTAGGGTCTGACCCACTTCCATGGACAGGCATGTGATCTTTTCTCAGAGAAGAGTGAGGAGGATTTTTCCTTTCAGTGACTTATGGTTTAGCAATCTTTCTAACAACACATCCCTCTAGAGCAGAACTGGCTGTATAGCAAATTGATAGTAAACAGCCTTACTATAAAAATGTAGATGGTCCTGTGAATTCAGCCTTCAAAATTACAGTATGTTTATAGCAAGGCCACAGTAGTTTGTGGGAGATTTATTTAGTATCAGAAAATATTACAGAAGGGTCAGTTACCTTTCCACAATTCTTTTGGTACTAACATGTGCAATAAGCTTTTATTTTATTTACCTCAAAATTGGACAAAGAGAACAGTAATGTATCTCTCTCTCTCTCTCTCTCTCTCTCTCTCTATATATATATATATATATATATATATATATATATATATATGCCTGACCAGCATGGCTCAGTGGTTGAGCATCGACCTATGAATCAGGAGGCTATGGTTTGATTCCCTGTCAGGGCACATGTCCGGTTTGTGGGCTCTATTTCCAGTAGGGGGCGTGTAGGAGGCAACCAATCAATGATTCTCTCTCATTGTTGATGTTTCTCTCTCTCTCCCTCTCCCTTCCTCTCTGAAATCAATAAAATATATTTAAAAAAGAATACAGCATGTGAGAACCCTTTAATAGTCTTTGAAATCAATTTGCCCCATGTACTTGTATAAATCCCTTCAATGACATATTGGTAGCAAGGGGTAAGCTCTGGGGTGGACCAGAAAATCCACCCTCTGCCTGGGCATTTCTGCATCATTCTCCATCTTTTCTACCATTCTCATCTAATGTCACATAATCGGGCCAATTCTAAAAAGAACACACATGCCCATAGATGGGTCCTCACAGCATGGTTTGGTGAGAACAGCAAAAGTAATAATATCTTGCACCCAACCATCTCCCCCTATTTCCCAGCACGTCTGTGTTTATAATTCTATCTTAGTCTCCCAACATGAGCGTAATAGAGAAAGCACAGTCACCATCAAGGTCATTTTTAGAGAACGAGCTTTAGACTCAGGGTGGCTGGCCTTAAGGAAACACAGAGCTGGTGAGTCGCCATCTTGGACTGATGCAGGTGGAATAAATTCTTGGAAGAAATGGATTAGAAATGTCTCTCTGTGACAAACCAGTACTTTGTGGTTAATCAATAAAGGACAACTATTCACAATTAAGCCTCATCTTGTGTGGTCAAGAAATCTTGCAAGAAATCTCCTGCACTGCCCAAGGGAAGCTCTTAAACGAGTGGCTGTGAGTGAGGGCCACCAGCTGCACACATCACAGAACTCCATGCCTCTTAGCACTGCCAGCCTGGATGCTGGGAGGGCCATCAGCAGCCGCTCCTGTCATACTGCTTTGCTGACATTAGCTGTCTATGCTAATGACATGAACTCGATCCTCACCTCAAACCATGATGCTTAATGTTGTTCAGCAACCAACAAGCTTGCTTCTTGTTTCTTTGGAAAAAATGAAGTCTGCTTTAGTAAAGAATTTGGTGTGAATAAGTCTACTATTTAAATAAAACAAATAAACACCATTCACTTATTTCCTTATTTCAGAGCTGTCTGTGAACTATCTTATTTGTTAGGATACCAAAGTAAAAAAAAAGAAAGAAATAGAAAATGAGTAACAGTGTTTTCCTATACATTAACTTTATTTTATTTTCTGAATATAGATTTTGTTTTTCTTCCATTCTCAGATGCATACAAAACCAAAGCTAATGTTTGTTTTAAATGCTAGTAATATAAACTAAGGAAAAGTTTACTACACTTTTATAAACACAGTCTATATTGCCTCCCAAAGTATACCAAGGGCATGGCTTAAAAAGACTTCATCTTTCTTGTGATTTAATGGCTTCAGGTTCTAAAGAGTATCCACACATTTTTGGTATCGATATCTTGGAAATGCAAAATGGGACTTGCTTGCCTCTGACCACACAAGATGAGGCTTAATTGTGAATAGTTGTCCTTTATTGATTAACCACAAAGTACTGGTTTGTCACAGAGAGACATTTCTAATCCATTTTCTCCAAAGAGCATCCTGCCTTGGTTTCTGATTTGGTTTTTAAGTTAACAACAAAATTATTTCACAGTGGATAGAACTGTTAGTGCATTTGCCTTCCACACTTAACCAGAACTTTGTGCATACTTAGAGAGTTTTTGGTTAAGCTGTGTCATTCTGCCTACATTTGAGAAAATTACTGAATGTTTTCTAGTATTGTAAGTGGGTGGTATGTTCAGTAAAATGAACAGGAATTTTGACTGTGGCTAATTAAATGAGTTAAGTGCAAAATGCTCAGAGCTGACCTGACCCACAGTATCCCCACCCTCAACCCCACCACCGATTGCTGCTGCTTCTGTGTCTACACTTGTTCCCAGGGAAGCACGTCTTGCTAGTAAGTGGGCTCTGAACTTCCTGGGAGCATTTGATACAGGACCAGGTCATGCAGGGATGTGCTGGGTTCCGGGCAGTGAGGTCAGCCCCGTTGCAGGGACCTGGAGCAGACACATGTCTCCATGGCCTGGGATTCAAATGCATGAACTCCACACCTTTCACCAGCCTTACTTCACTTGGCAAAGGTTAACAGGGGAAGGACCGGGTTTAAAAAATGTTTGAATCCGGTTCTGTTCTTACAGACCATATTCTTGACAGTGAGTCCAAGGGCCGTGTGTTGAGGAATTCCCAAGGGAAGTACGAAATTTGTGTTTTCTTTGTAAAAAGCTTCTCAGAAAAATAAGTGAACTACAAATGCAAGGCCTAGGCAGTGATGGCGAACCTTTTGAGCTCGGCGTGTCAGCATTTTGAAAAACCCTAACTTAACTCTGGTGTCGTGTCACATAAAGGAATTTTTTGATATTTGCAACCATAGTAAAACAAAGATTTATATTTTTGATATTTATGTTATATATTTAAATGCCATTTAACGAAGAAAAATCAACCAAAAAAATGAGTTCGTGTGTCACCTCTGACACGCGTGTCATAGGTTCGCCATCACTGGCCTAGAGCCTGTGTGAGCCTAGAGCCAAAGTGAGTTCTTATTTGCACCTGTGACCTAATAGCAACTGCAGAGAAAGACTTGTGAGTTATGGGAGGTTAGCACACCACTGCTTCTCTTTTCAATGTTGGGTTTTGAAGTGCAAAAAGTGTTCCACCAAATTTGAGGTGTGGTTACAGAAGCAAAGCAGGCAGCAGGTACACAATGAAAGTTAGTTTAGACTCTGGTCACTTCAAGAACTGACACCTTAGCCTTTCCCTTGGCAGGTCTCTCTGGTGATTTCATGCGTGCTGGGAGATACTCTGCCCACACCGTCAACGGGGCCTGGTCAGCCTGGACGTCGTGGTCACAGTGCAGCCGCGACTGTAGCAGGGGCATTCGGAACCGGAAGCGTGTTTGCAACAACCCTGAGCCCAAGTACGGGGGCATGCCCTGCCTGGGCCCATCCCTGGAATACCAGGAGTGCAACATTTTGCCTTGCCCAGGTGAGTGGATTGAGGAATCGGAAAAATATCTGAAAAAAAATCAAGGGCTTTGGAAGACATTCTGAAATAGGGGAGGCTCAACTGGCTTCCCTGGCTTTATATATATATATATATATATATATATATATATATATATATATGAAAGAGAAATGCATATTTTAGAGATATTAAGGGTTCAGTTCCAAACCACTGCAGTGAAGCAAATAATGCAATAAATCAAGTCACATGCATTTTTTTTTGTTTTCCCAGTGCATATAAAAGTTATGTTTACATTATGCTATAGTCTATTAAGTGGGAAATAGCAGTAGGTCTAAAAAAACATTGTACATATAGTAATTAAAAAAGACTTCATTGCTTAAGAATGCTAACCATCATCTGAGCCTTCAGCAAGTTGTAATCTTGCTGGTGGAGGGTCTTGCCTTCAACTAATCCCAATAAAGCAAAGTACAATAAAATGAGTTACCCCTGGATATACAGACATACACATACAAATTTATAAACCACACAGTATGTCTTCCAACAGTATTGGCATAAAAGCAAATAGAACCTAGGCTGCATTGTATTCATGTATTTCTTCAATCTACGAGAAATGGAAACATCCTCATGAGCAACTGTGAGCATGGTCGGCACTAGGCACTGTGCCAGGTGGAGAAGTCAGTGCTACTGCCATGGTCAGGACAGAGGCTCCTGTCCTTAAAAGTGGGGCCTGGCCCCCACCCAGGCTCTGATGGTCCCGGCCCTGAAATGGCCTCTGTTCACCACAGATTCCTGTTCCAGGTAATAGTTATCAAGGGTACTCACCAGGGTGCCTTGGTCTACAGGAGTCCACTTTTTCCTAAGTTGGGTCTCTAAACACACACTCTTCTCTCTTGGAAGCTAACAAAAGCTGTGTGTCTGGGTCTTCCTCCTGAGACCTGGCTTTTCATTTCTTGGAATTCCCAAAGAAGCGCCAAGTGCATAAAATGAGCTAAAAGAGGCCCCCGAGCCTCTGTCTTCCTGGACAGGGCCTTGTCTGCACACACAGCCCCATAGGCTCCTCTGCCTTGTCTGCCCTCTCCTGCCGCAGCTTTGGGCGGGGCCCTGTCACCTGCTTCACTTCCCCTGACCTTCCCACAGAGAAAGGACGTCTCACCTGATACCTCAGGCCATCCAGAGTGCTGGTCTGCAGTGTGTGCTGCCTTTGACTCAGTCAGAGTGAAAGCTCCAGGAGGGCAGGGGCTGTGGTGAGGGTGTCACTCACTCACTGCAGTGCCCTCACTCCCAGCACGGGCCTGACACACACCAGGAATGCTGACCAGTCACTGTTGAAGGATGGGAAAGCAAGCAGTTGGTTATTTATCTTCCTTCCTTCAGTCAGTTGATAAGCAAACATTTTTGGATAGCCTACTATGCACTATTCACAGGGTAAAGAAAGGTGCAGTGAGGAGGCATCCTGTGAATAATGCCAGCCCAGTATGGTCACCAGCTATTGGGCTGCATATATTGGATATAGATGCAGTGGTCACATCAAATAAGGATTCGCTGAGCTGAAATCATGGCCACTGCCCTAAGCAGACTGCCTCTGAGCTGAGTCTGGAGGGAGTTGGACAAACAGACAAGCAGAGATGGGAATGCAGGGTCATTCCAAACACCAGATCCAGTGTTTTTAAAGATACAGAAGCTTGAAAGTATAGCATCTCTTTCAGTAGGTATAAGCAACTTGCTGAGTTCTTTGAACAAGAAACTGGGTTGAGGCCATACATTTTGTGGATGGGTAGATGGATTGATGGATGATGGTAAAATGCTTAGTGGATGGATGGTTGGATGGATGGATAGATGGATGGATGGATAGATGGATGGATGGATGGGTGATGGATGAATGGATGGATGATGAATGGATGGATGAGAAGATAGATAGATGATGGATGGATGAATGGATAATGGACGGATGGCTGGATAATTGAATTAATAGTTGGATGTTTAGATGACAGATGGATGAGTGGGTGGATGGAGAGATGGCTGATGGATGGATCGATGGATGAATGGATGGGTGGATAGTGGACTATGGATGATGAATAGATAGATGATGAATGGATGGATGTATAAATATGTACATTAAACTAAAAATACACAGTTCCCACCTTTGTAGCTGAGGCTCTCACTAATGTCCCTGCTCATGCAGCTGCTCTGCTCCTCCTGGACTGTCTCTGCCTGAATTTCTCCAGCCTCAGGAGACTTCAGACCATCCAGCCTTCCCAGCCAAGTGATGCTGAGGGGCTGGGAAAGGTCACAGAGCCAGGATTTTCCCACAGCCCCAACACTGAGAGTGGAGGATTCCTCCCCCAGGGCTGGGAGGGAGATCATGGGTGGCATCATTAGATTAGGGTCAGTGCTGTAACTGAGCAGGCAGGGTGACGTGGGAATGTTAGGATCACTCCATGTCCTCTCGCCTCCCAGGCTCCAGACATGAGTCCTCATTGATGTCAGCAGAGCGGGCAGACTCTCCAGATTCTAGGATGCTGCCTTGTCCTTGAGAGCAGGCTCGGTGCCCATGTCAGAGATATCCATGAGCATGGTCTGGTGGCTGTGTTTATTTTAGTTTATTTGATGGCCAAGACAGTATCATGTATATATAACCTTAATATCTTGAAATAGCTCTGTCTTCATTTTCTTTCTAAAAGCCAAGATTCCATAGAGGGTTGTGAAAATATTCAGAGTTGCCCTCTTCAATTCCCACTTGGGTGTGGGTGGATTCGAGGGGCTGAGTTGGGTAAATGTCAATTCTCTCTCCCACCTCCTAGAAAATTCCTGAACACATGAAAGTATGTAACTCATCAAGGAGGGGTTGAAGCCTTCAGGGCTCTGGATGCAGAGTTGCTCAGCCATGAGGAGGTCCAGTTACAAGGCTATTTTTACCTAATTTCAGATACTCTCCTCCTTATGAATTTATTCTCCCTTAGCTCCATTTGGTCCACAGTACGCATGTGCAAATGGGCACTGTATTTTATTAAAAAACAAGCTTCCTCATTATGATTAAGTTTGAAAATAAATCTAAGCAAACTAGGTGAATGTAAAATATCTTTTAAATTTGATCTCCAGTTCAAATGTGTATGACAAATTGCAACACGGTAAAATTATATTTTTCAACTTCTTGTGGTGCCTTCACCTATGTAATTTACCTGCAACAATGAGAACTAGCTTGGTGTTTATCCTTCTCTCCTTTTCTCCAGTCCCTGTTGGATTCATAACTATGGCTTCCAGACCTTGGCAGACCAAGGTAGAGACTACAGGTGTTTCTTTTTACTAAATAATGGTCAAATCAAATAACGTAAGTGTGAGTGAGAAAGAACAGAATGATAGTCTAACAGAGGGCCGGACCCTTTGCATCAAAGTGTATTAACAACTCAGTGTTGTTAGCTCTAGGCTGCATGACTAAGTCCTCATACCCGTTGAACAGCAGCTCTTCATTTCCCCTCCCCATCTCCTGGCAACTTCCATTGTACTCTGCTTCCATGAGTAAAAATTTCAGATTTCACATATAAGTGCAACTATGCAGTATTTGTCTTTCTTTGGCTTATTTCACTAGTATAAGGTCCTCCAGATTCATCCATGTTGTGGAATATGACAGGATTTCCTTGGTTTTAATGGAATATCCCATTGTACACATATACCACAGGTACTTTTTCCATTCATCTGTCAATGGACACTTATGTTGTTTCCACATGTGGGCTATTGCAGAGAATGCTACAATGAACATGGAAGTGCAGATATCCTGACTTCCTTATGTTTAGATATATGCTCAGGATTTCTGGATCATATGGTAGTTTTTTAGTTTTAATTTTTTTTTAAGAACCACCATACTGTTATTCATAGCAGCTGCACCAATTTACATTTGCACCAACAGGGTACAAGTGTTCCAGTTTGTCCACATCCTTTCCAACACTATTGTCTGCTGTTATCTATTATGTTTTTTTTTTTTTCACAATAGCCATCCTGACAGATGTGCAGTGATATCTCCTTATGATTTTGATTTGTATTTTCTCGCTATTAACAATGTTGGGCATCTTTTCATATACCTAGTGGCCATTGATCTGCAGGTTCACTATGCAATAGAAAAGTCACGGATCTTTAGACCACATGGTTGCTCCAAGTCCAGTTCCAGCACCCATCTAGATGAGGCATTTGAACTGAGCCCCAGACGGCCTTGTGTACATTCAAACATCTGTACTCTGTGACACCGGCTATTCTGAGGCATTCTGAATTATCTGTGCCTTAGTGTGGGGTGTGTACACGTACCCACTTGAGATCAAGCTTCAGCTCAGTTTACAGTGAGAATAGATATGGCAGTGGGTGTTTGCAAAGTTTAAAGTTCTAGGCAAATCTCTGCCTGCCTTCCTTTTCTGGTATTATAACCAATGTCAGATATTCATTCTCACTTTCTGACATGCTTATTGCCTATTAGGGAAAAGGTTGAATACTTCAAGTCTGGATAAACTGACAAATCACAAAATTCCCAGTTACATGTCAAATATTTTTTTATGTTTTTACTTTTTTGCAAATTAAAATATCATCATAAACATGATGCTTCTGCTTATATGTCCCAAAAATTCTTTAGTTTTATCTATGCCTATATTTAAAGAGACATAATACTTTATAAAAAGATGTATTAGTTCACAATGGGTATATTCAAATATAAACTAGGTCATTCTACCTAAAATAGCCCTATATGTTTAAAGATTTTGGCATTCCCTTTCCTTGTTGCTTCTGTTCTATTTTATGAAGGATGTGGAGAAAATAAAATATGATACTATCTACATCTTGTAAAAGCGAATCTCTCATCAGCTTTTTTATGTAGTATGCTGTGGTTATGATTGCTTTTTGCTAATTGGAGCCTAACAACATCGTGACAAAAGTCCTGCAGCTTGTCTCTGGGGCTCAGTAAAACAGGGCAGGTCTGGCTGACAAGAGGGCAGATCAGCAAGGAGTTAGACAAATGGCAGATCATATCGGACAATGTCAGACAGAAGCCAGCGTGAGGTCTCAGTTTAACAAGCAGGCGGGAGCCCTGAGAGCCAGGAGGGTCAGCTGACCCAGTGCTCAGGAGGCCCCTCCACTGGTATCAGGAGCCCAGCCTGGAGAAAACAGGAAAACGGCTCGGGGTCACGGGCAGGCATGGCAGTAGTTCATCAGGAACCAGTTCTGCCTAATGTTCGAGTTACAAAACTCGCCTTTATACCCACCCTGAAGTCTGGCTGCGGGTAGCAGGCCCTCTGTTTAGTCCATAACATAAACACACCGTCCAGTCTGCATGGCATGGACTTCATTTGGTTGTTTCATTTCTGCATCTATGGAGCATCCCCGCAGTTCTTCCTCACAGGACCTGTTACCCTTGCTTTATCCCTCTGTCCTGGAGCAAATCGTAATCCCATTAGCAAGGAAGGCGGTGACTGGAACTGGCTGTCCTCGGCTATAAGTCTCCACTGGCCAACTCGACTGAGTGGTTAACAAAGGCGAGAGCACGCTGGGGCTTCACAGCAGAATGTTGTTCAAGGTCATTCCCAAGGATGGTTATTTTCTGTTGCATACACTGTACTCTGTCATCCTCATGCTTATGTTTAGAGATATTTCTTGAAGGGACAAATCAGAGGAACTGAAAATGTGAAGGGAGGAATATGCAAAACAGGTTCCCTCAAACAGGAAGACCTCCAAACACCCTACTGTGGGTGGTCACGTGGCTTCTCGGATGTGGTCCTGCCTGTACACTCTATCTGCAGCCTCATCAGTTTGGTCAGCTTTGCATTTCAGAAGCAGCCTGACTGTGTGTCTTTCCCCAGTGGATGGCGTGTGGTCTTGCTGGTCCTCCTGGTCAAAATGCTCAGCAACGTGTGGTGGTGGACACTACATGAGGACCCGCTCCTGCACAAACCCAGCCCCAGCCTACGGCGGGGACATCTGCCTAGGGCTGCACACGGAGGAGGCGCTCTGCAACACGCAGCCCTGCCCCGGTGAGTGGTGGGACTTTGGGACCAATGTGCCCCTATCCCTGACTCAGAAATGATGAATTGATGATGCCATGTCATAGGTACTGAAAGAGGAGAACACTTCCACCCATCTGCCGCCCTGCCACCTGGAAGTGACTTCATAACACATGTTCTGCAATAAAATGGTTCTCAACCTGGCATAGTTTCAGAACAAGTAGCCGAAATGGGTTACGACAGAGCCTTCGTAAAATATTTCATTAATCTCAGCTAATGAAATCTGAGATTGTGTGGTTGAGAATCGGGGTGGGGAGCATGGAGGTACTGAGCTCTGAGGCTGGCTGGCGCTGGTGCCCACTGGATGAGTGACCCAGTCTCCCCATCTGGAATTAGCTTTACCTTCTGACATGGAATGACTTGGAATGAAGATGAGACCTAACTTTGACATTGAAACAATTTTACGTTTTTTTAATAACTTGCTCTTGTATTTCTCTCTAGAAGGTTCCATGTATATTGTAAAGGGCCTACAAACCAAATTCTTATAGTCATTCTGAAAACTGACACATTTCTAAGGGAAAATTGTACCCTTTACATGGATCTCTCTTCCCATTGGGTCAAGGCACAAGTCTGATTTCCAAAATGTCTGAACTACAAAGATAGTCAGGTTGCTTCAGGTTGCTTGCATTTAAAAAGAGGAGAAAATCAAACTGCATAGAAAAATACTTTTATGTTGATTAATATTTCATAAATAATATTAAGAGTTAAATTTTTGTAACCTCCTTACTTAAAATATGAGAGTTTGTCTGCCACACATCTGCAGGCCTGGGCTAATTTAACACAACCTGGCAACTCTTGCACTTCAGGGTGAAGGGCCCTGTTATCACTCAACTCTTGGCCTTCACCCAAGACTTGTGCATTGATCTTATGAGCAAACACGGGACACAATGAATTCTGCCTAAAATATAGCCTGACTTTGAGATATTGATTCTACAGAATTGTTTTTATAAGAGAAGAGAACGCTTACATTGTAGGTTTCTCAGGAACTCAGCAACCGGGCTTTCTCGTAGATGCACCTATTTCTCTTGCCCCAGCGCTGAGGCCTGTGGGAGTCTCTCAGGAAAGCCTGTGAGGGCTGCTCCTAGCAGAGGAGCATTGCCCTGATGGAAATAGTGTCTGCCTTGATGATTTCTGTTCCCCTGCCACTGACAACCTGTGCACAGTTGGACATCAGTGATTAGCTTATTGAGCGTCTAATTCAATCACTTTAAAGCATTCAAATAATGTGGTTTCAGCAAATGTAATTCTAGCACATTATTTCAGGTCAATGATATACCAGTTCTTTTATTCATGCTCATGTGTATTTTATCTACTGGGCTTTTAAGAAGATAGGAGTACATCTTATTTATATACAGGCCCATTAAAGCTGATAGGAGGGCATAAACTCATATATGTAACATGACAGTGCTTCCAGGGTGATTGATCTTAGTGCCTCTTGCTGCCTCTTCTCCCCGCTTCTGGTTACTGCAGAGAGCTGGTCGGAGTGGTCAGACTGGTCGGAGTGTGATGTGTCTGGAGTCCAGGTCCGCGCCCGCCAATGTATCCTTCTGTTCCCTGTGGGCAGCCAGTGTTCTGGAAACACCACGGAGAGCCGGCCATGTGTATTTGATTCCAATTTCATCCCAGGTAAGGGCAGCGTGTGAGCAAGATCCCTGCCCACAATCCAAGTGGAAATGAATCATCGGTTAGAGTTGCAATTATTCTTTGAGTTCCCTTTTGGTGAAACAGATGATTCTGTCAACTCTTGTATTTTCAGGGTGATTAAAGTAGAGGTTTATAGGTAGCTGCAAGTTTAGACTTAAATTTAGCCTGTGCATTTGAAGATTTTTTTCAACCATAGACATTGTTAAGCACAGTGTTGTTTCTACAATTTATTGACTATAACACATGTGGAAGATTTTGCCCAAAAAAATGCAAGTGGAGCATTTGGTTATTTTAATCATTAGGTAAAATGTTTTGTCAATGCTTGTGTGCATGTGTTTGCACAGAGAAGAAGGACCATTTTCTTTATGAAAACTTAATGTATTTGGGAAGGGGAACCCATTATGGCTCTTATCTTGGAGAAGAGGGGACTGGCCCTCTTGCCACTGCCTTTTCCATGTCAAATCAAGTTGTTAGGTGGTCACCTGTCACCTGCGCACTATAGGTCTGGTGTATATACTGACATATCATTTCACACATGCCTACTGTGTGGCTTAGGACTGAGATGTGGACCAAAGCAGAGACAAACCTTTTACAAGGCAATAGTGGGTAATAGCTTATCTTCCTCCATTTATGGAAGAGATAATGTTTTAGAGAAAAGTATAAGCTTTAGCCTTGTAGGGCACTTCAGTCATGTATGGTATAAAGTTGCAATGTTTATTGTTGTTGTTTCCCTTTTAAATTATAGATATATTTTTTATTCTTGGTGTCTAAGGGAAAATCAATACAGAGAGAATAATGTTTCTGGCATCCTGAAATGGTGTTTCATTGTGTAGGTGGATTTCTCCTCACAATGGTGTCTCCCATTGTGGCATAGCAGAGCATCAATGGGCTCTGAACAGGGACTTATTTGTTCTGGCCATTTCCTTGGAGCTCTGGTGGATCAGTCACCTCTGCAGGGACTGTGACAACCCAGCTTTGATGAAACAAAAGATCTGAGGCAGGAACACCACAGGCCAACACCATGGGGTTCCACAGCTGGCAGGATGTATTGTAACTGAAAATCCGCTCATTCTCTGGTCTCGTTTTGAAGCTACTGCCCTGGCTGTAGCTCAGGGGACCATTGCATTTTCTACCTGTGATAATGAATCTCACCCCTTCCCAATCAAGATGACCTTGACCAACTGCAGCTCAAGTTGGCTGAACAAAGAAACAAATATAATTTTTAAAAATCAGGTTTTTGGAACTTCAACTCACATAAAACTCAATATCATTGGACATTTTGTAAATGAATCACTGATATGATATTTCTTCCCAATACCCTTTACACATTGTGATTGGATTTTTCTTTTTCCAGAAGTATCCGTGGCAAGATCTAGTAGCGTAGAAGAGAAGAGGTGTGGGGGTAAGTTCTTCCTTTTAACTACAGTCTAAGTGATTTCTGATATTTTCTGCTCTTTGGCCAAATGATGTTTCTATGTTTCTGCTGTTGGCAAAAAACAAAACAGACTGGAGAAACTCCTGGATCCCAAGCACCTTCTGCTTTGGTAGTATACATGCTAAGAGTCAGCGTTTGACATCTGGATTAGTGGTTCTCAAGTGGGGTCCCCATATCAGCACCACCAGCATCACTTGGGACTTGAGATAAATACAGATTCTCAGGCACCACCTTGAGCTGAAGAATTAGAGCCTGTTTGAGTGGGACTGGGCACTCTGTGGCTTAATAAGCCCTTCAGGTGACTGGTGAATGCTAAGCTTTACGAATCCGTGATCTTGATATCTTAATACTGTATAGGTACTAAATATAGATATTAGACTTCCCATGAGTAAAACAGTATTCCAGCAGTTTGTTTATATTTATAAATCCTGGCAGCCAACCGCAAATCTTCAGACTGATGGAATGACAAAATTGTAAGGGGCATAAGGTTCTACTGGTATATCTCTAGAGGAACATTTTAAACTTCCCGGAACCCTGAATGACAAATATCAACATTCTCTGGTTCAAGTCTGTGATGAATTCAGACTTTACCGTGTATGACTATCTTGTCTGGAAGGGAGGGATTGACTGTCTATATATCCAAGCCCAGTCCCTGTCCACCTTTGCCAATCAATACCAACAGTCTTGTCGTATGTGTGTATTCAGACTGAAGACCTATTAATAACCACCCTTACCGTAGTCCACCCACCAGGGGAGTCCCAGGCAGCTCAGCTTATGCTCAGGTGGAATCTGGAGCTTCTACACATATTTTAGGAATGTACTTACCATTATTAACTACATTTAATAAGAGTTCACTATTATATCCTTTCTGCTTAGTCGGCCATCTGGTAACCTATTCATTCAGTGATCTTTGCTGAGTGCCCACCCACTCTGTGCCAGTTTTATGAGTGGACTGAAAGAGCCCCCTGGAGCAGACAGTCATACCCTCAGAGGGACAATGTCTGTCCTTGAGTCCACAGACTGGCAGTCACTAACTTGGAATCCAGCTGGAAGATGAATATATGCCACTTTAAATAAAACTAATCCTGAGAATTCCTTAATATTTTGATATCAGCCACTCCATGCCAGACACTGTATTAAATTACAAGAAGGATCCTATTTGATCCTCACAAAGAACATTCTTGTAGGTGCCAAAGTCCACAATTCTTTATGTAAAAGAAGAATTGGAAATAGGGAAGGGTTTTGGAACTGAACTCTTTTCATTATGTGGATGGGTCATATGGGGCATGTACTGGATATTACATAATGCCCTGCAGGGTCTGGGGGCAACTTCATAACTGGTTCCTTTAATGATGCTGCAGTGACACGTGGGTGAACTGAATATGCTAATGCTTCTGGCGGTTCTGGTCAGTTCTGCAGCAAACAGGGCAGGGCAGGTCATGCTTTGTTGCCAGGTAAGTGATGAGAAATCACTTTTCTGAGATTTTGGTGTAGGGAATTGTAGAAAATTATCAGCCATGGGTTTTTATCTGCATTTTATACGTATGGATTATGAGGGTCAGGGACATGAGACCCATGGTTGAAGTTCACGTTCACACAGGCAGTCAGCCGTGGAGCCCAGGTCATATCCAGGCAGTGGGGTCGCAGTGAACTCGAAACTTGGAGCACCAGAGGAAAGCATCCAGGAGGATTGTGTCTGGGGACTGGAGCCACAGCAGCCCTGGTCAGGTGACACTCTTGGACAACACCCACAGTCCAGGGATGTCTGCTGCCCTCAGAGGCAGTGAAGGTCCAGAGTGGTGGCGGTTGTAGGGATTGGTCCTGTCTTGAGGGAGGCCACCAGCTGATGTCTCTGCATACTTGGCAGTCGGTGCTCATTAGCCACAAGTTTGAAAACCACTTTCCTTCACTGGCCATCTCAGGGTAAAGGGAGGGGAGTCCTTCCAAGGCTTTTAATATACAGGAGAACATCATGCAATGCCCATCTGTGCCCTAAAATGCTGTTTCTATGTGTCTGAGCCAGGTGTGCCAAATGGCTGCCTAGAATCAAGATTTGAGGTGCTATTGATTAAATCATAGAAACTTTAATTACTCTGCACTATTCAAAACTAAGTCTTTTTTAAAAAAATATTGTTGAAGGTATTACATTTGTCCCCTTTTCTCCCCTCATTGACCCCTTCTAGCCCCCCCCCCACCCCACCCCGGTCCTTCACCCCCCTATTGTCTGTGTCCATGGGTTATATGCATACAAGTTCTTTGGTTGAAATCTTCCCAAAACGAAGTTTTTAGGCTACTGACATTGACATACCAGAATAGTTGGGTAAGAGGTCAAATGGATTTGATTGTTGGGCTGATATGTAAAAACAATAACGTCACAAGGATGTTTAGGGAGATAACATTGTTGTCTTTTTTTAGTTTGTTGCAAAAATCAATCACTTTTTGCACAGGAAATCAGGCAGTTGAATCAACTGGGTAATTGATTTCTATTCCGGCTTTGCTGACCAAAAATCCCAGCCAAAAAAAGCATATTCAAAGCAGAGAGTCAAACTAAGCAAATTCAAGAGATTTAATAGGCACTATTTTTCCTTTCTGCAGAAAAATGTGAGTCTTTTGAAATGTTTCATCTTAGAGAGCTATTTTTAGTTGCCTGTGACACACAGACTGTATAATCGTCATAAAGATGTCAGTGGCCCCAGCCTTCCCCAGGCACCTGTGGGAATGATTCATTTGATTAACGATGAAGTATCTGCATACGGATGGAGCCCTACATCTTCCATGTGTTATAATAAAATATGCTATCCGTGTGGCAGAAAGTACTTACATCCAAATCTGGCACCGACCCCAGAGAGTCTGAACCCTAAAGTATGAGGCAATGACAACACTGTGAAACCCACAGCTCCCATGTTACAGCAACACCTATAGTGGGCGCTTAGGGGAGCATCCTCGGTGCTTCATCCAACTGTCCCAGAAAAAAATCAGGAAAAGCCAAAGATTAATAAAGTCCTTTTACTTTGTCAAACCATTGGCCAAATAACCAAGAAGTGGAAACCTGAGGTGGATGGAAAACTGAGGTTGTGTTTTTGGAGTCTCAGTGCGGGTAGGAGCCTGTTAGCTGTGCTCACAGACAACTGAGTAGGCAGCCTCAGCACAGTGTCCGTCCCCCCGGGGAAAAGGATCCATCTCTCAGGAACCTGGGAACAGCTTGGAGGGAGAAGTCAGGGGTTGGGGACAGGCAAGAGGTACTCAGCGTCTACTGCATATCGTAGGTGAGGTGAAGTCTGCTTGAAACATCCTTGGTGGGGAGCCTGGGTGGTAAAGGTTCAAGTACTCCAGCACCTGGATGTGGGGGGCAGACCTGTGGCTCTCCTCTCCCTGAGTGCCCTGAGGGCTTCGAGTTGCAGCTCTGCAGACCCACCTGGAATTGACAGTGGTGCCCAGCAGGCATCGCCACTAGTTCCATTTGGGGCCCTGTGGACAGATAGGGAAGGGGAGGTATTGAGCTTGGGTGGCAATGCACCCTTTGGTGGCCAATGGAAGGCTCACTCAGGGGGAAAGCAGGGGAAACATGTAAATCCACAAGCAACTGGCTAGCCACATGGGGCCAACACAGCAGAAAAAGGCAGGTCGGCTCTGCTTTACCTAATTTTCCCTAAGCCCAGCTTCACCAGCTCTGCCCACATGTTGTCTGCAGTCTCTGAAAGGCTTGAAACTTTCATTGTAAAGTGTTTTACAAACACACCATGAATATCTGTTTTGTTGTTGTGGTGTCTCATGCTTCATGGAGGTCTTGCTTATGTTACCTTGCGGTCACTCAAGCCAGTACTATGCCACAGTCATAAATCCATGCCCACTCACTTTGCCAATGCTTTGTACTCCTAATTCAAGGAAAATAAGTCAGTCTATCAAACAGGAAAAAAAAATGTAAAAAGAGGGTCATTTCATGACCATTAAAAGAACATATGTTATTCCTTTGACACAAATCCTTTATTTCTTTGTAAGATCTCTACTTTCTTTATAACATCTCCAAAATACAATGTAAGTGAAAAAAAGTGGTACCCAGGGTAATATGTATGGGTGTGCACACACGCACACGCACACACACATGCACACACACACAGAAGTGTGCAGAGGACATCGGAAACGGCACACCAGAAAGTGGGTGTAGTAGTCCCTAGGAAAGAAAAAGACTTAGTACGTTTATATTCCCTTTTACACTTTCTGATGTTATATAAAGTGTTTATATTCATAATAAACATATAATGAAAACATCAGCATTATGTAAGTGGAACGCATTTTTAAGTAAAGTGAAATAAAGGGAAGGGGAGAGAGAGTCTGGCTTGCAGGCGAGCCGGGCTAGAAGCAGTGAACGCATTCTCCCTTTGCGGGAGGGACACGCAGCCCGTCAAGGAGCCTGGAGGGTATGTTTTGGACCTCTCAATATCTACCCTCCTAGAATCCTCATAGACCAGAGAGTGAGCTGCACTTGAAACTGAAGCACATTCTTGTATGAGCTTTACATTAAAAAATTTTAAAAAGCTTCTGCTAGTGTGTGAAGGTGACCTCCAAAAGTCTTGATTACGATGCATTAACTTAAAATATACTGTGCTTGCTTTGGAGAAGTGTTTTGGTGGCCATGCTATTTCGAAGGAATTGGCATATGATGTCTTTAATTCTGAATGGATATGGGGCTTTCCATTTCATCATTCTCTTTTCACCAAAGCACTGAGCTGTTGGCGTAGCATGTTCCTTTCCAGTGTAGCATCACTTTCGATGCTGTCTTCCCAGAGTTCAACATGTTCCACATGGTCGCTGTGGGGCTGAGCAGCTCCATCCTGGGCTGCCTTCTCACTCTCCTCGTCTACACCTACTGCCAGCGGTACCAGCAGCAATCCCACGATGCCACCGTCATCCACCCCATCGCGCCTGCCCCGCTCAACACCAGCATCACTAACCACATCAACAAACTGGACAAGTATGACTCGGTGGAGGCCATCAAGGTACGGGATGGGCAGAGGCCGCAGCATCCAGATGTGCAAAGAAGGCGGGGCCCTGGGGCTATTGGCAAAGCCTACCGGTGGTGGCACAGGTGACAGGGTGGGGTCAAGGTACCAGACTCTCACTCACAATGAACTGCCTTTTTAGCTTTGCTTTGCCCGTGAGCAGATGGCATCTCATATTGGGAATGTAGTTAAAAATAGCACATGGAAACAGCAACAAGTAAAATGCTGGAAAATATTAGGTCATTGGCCAGTGTCCAGCTCTGTCTCCACTGTGCCTTCTGCAGCCACACGGAAGTCATGCCAAATATAAGAGCTCCAGGCTGAGGACTGATACGCACTGGGCAGTGGTAATGAGGACTAGGGCTGGACCCTTTCAGGAATCACAGGGTGGCAAAAGTGTTACAGTATTATAAGACTGTCTTCAAAGAATTGTCAAGCACAGTGAAGGTCTGTGTGATGCAAAGGGCTGTGTGGCTGGTGGGTTTTTTTAAATTTCCCCAATGCGTGATTAACCCAGTGTTTTCCCCAGAAAGAGTAAATGATCAGTCTCTTCCTCATTCCCAGGAAGCAGGAGTGAGAAGGGTATCAGCACTGGAGCTGGCAGACCTGGGTTCATGAGTCACTTACCAGCTGTTATTCAAACTCACTGAGCCTTTGTGAATCAAACAGGGTGATTTGTATGAAATGCCTTGAACAGTACTGGGCAAAATAAATGCAGTTGTAATTCCAGGCATTTTGCATCATAGGTCAGACTACAAGTTAGTTACTCCTTTGAACCTCAGTTTCTTCATCTTTAAATGGGTATAACAGTATGTATTATTGACTGCTGCCTAGTCACTAATAAATCCTTCTAGAACTTTTTTCTAGAAGGAGAGTTAGCCTGAGCCTACAATCCTTCATCTTTATTTTGGACCCCTCAATATCTACCCTCCACCTGAGGTAGTTCAGCTCTTTGAAAGTGCAGATGCCTGTAGTGACTATTAAAGAAAAGAACATCAGTGGCCAGAATGCCTGAGGTAGACACCCTCTAACAAGTGCAGAAAAGGAAAATAAGTCTTTTGAAATTCCATGCATTTACTTAAATAAGTTCCATTTTTAATGTCTTATCCCTATACCCATTCAAGGTCATCAGGAAGCTGCTTAAATATCTACTCAGTTATATGTGATAACATTCTAAGTGAGCAGTGCTAGAAGCATTAAATGCATTCTCCAAGCGTTTGTTCATTTGAATTGGCCAGAGTTTTAGGCTTCCCTGAGGTTTAGGCATAGGTTTTCTAACTCTGGGGAACTTCCTGCCTACAACTCAAAAATAGGCTGGAAGATGTCAAAACTTGCCAACTTCATTCCAGTTATGAGGCAAATCCTGGTAAGGCCAATAGTGTGAGGAAGCAGGTAAGTGCGGAAACACATTTTCCAATAACAGGGCCTTAGGACAGAGTGTGAATTCAACATACCCATCTCCCAGTTACATTCTCTTCCTGAAATACTACTTACATCTTTTATTTTTATCTTTTGCAGGCATTTAATAAAAACAACTTGATCCTAGAGGAGAGAAACAAATACTTCAACCCGCATCTCACTGGGAAGACTTATTCTAACGCCTACTTTACAGATCTCAATAATTATGATGAGTACTAATAACGCTTACATTTTTGGCTTCTTGTAATTCCCTGGTTCCTCGAGGCCTGTGCTCCATGACTGCCCATGTTTCGGAGACTTCAGAGATGAAGTTTGGATACATTTCAAGTGCATTTCAAGCCAGGAGTGTCCCATTGCTGCCCAAAATAGATGTCCTTAAAAGCAACAAAAGTCTAAATACAACAATGTGAAAATCTGGTCTACAATACTTGTTGAATGAGCCATGGTGTGGAGTTATTTTTTTTTTTTATTGTGTTCAGTCCATTTTTCTAACAAGTCAATTGTTTCCTTGAGCTTTTTAATAAATGCATCGCCTACATTGGAAGGAGTCTTTAGGAATAGGAGCCTCTTCTTGCTTTTGAGCATACATCTTCATGATGTTTTAATTCAAGAAAATAGTTCACATTATATGAGAATACCCCTACACACACACACACATACGCATATACACACACATAGAGTGCTTAAGTCCATAGTATTGCTAAAATGAAGAATATGAATGTGGCCATACAGTGATTCACCATGGATCGCCCATCTTCTCAATCTGGAGAATACTGTGGAATTCTTAGAAGCAACTTGTGTGTTTGGACGTGGAATGATTCTTGCCTCAGGAAGCTCAGGATGCAACCTGGCTTGCATCTGCAGAGGCGGTTATATGAAGTCTGAGACATTCCACCCTTGGTCTTCATGAATTTCCTGTTACCACTCGGGGAGGCACAGACACGATGAAGGGGAAATTGTTCTGCAGGTTGCTGCGAAACTAGCCTTATTCTGACTTTTGGATTTCATGGCATTCCAGGATTTCCTGGCTGCACAGTTGGCTTGGGTGCCCACCTGTCTGGTCCATTGTAACGTCCTGGAGAGCCTGTAAAATAACCATTTGTTTAGCATGTGGATAGACTCCACACCTCCTCTCTCCCTGCAAAGAAAACAATTTTGAACATTAATGATGACACTGAAGAAAGTATTGAAAGTACTGAAATATGATTGAAAACAACTTTTTAAAATTTTCCATGTTACGGACAGTATTGAGAGAACTGACATTTATTGAAAGTCAACTTTTATTTCCCAGTATTGATAGAACTAATTGTGGTGACATGCCCCTACCAAGAGCATTAATTATATGTAAAGCTCGCTTTCTGCCACCCATCGCTGTACATAGTGAACTGCTCCCCAAATTCCCAGCTGTCATTGCTGCCTCCGGGTCAAGTGAGGGGGAGATGTTTAGCTCTGGTGCCTTTTGGTTTTAATCTAGTGTTGCCTTCCCATCCACTAACTCCCACTTCTCCTTGCATGGAGGCCACATTTCAAGATATACCTTGAGAAATTAGGGTATTTGGATGTGAGGTTGTTAATGATCCTTGTGGTTCCGAGCATTTTCGAGTGCTGTACAATTCAGAGTGATCCTCAGTAAGAAAAGAAAAAAGAGGATAAATTATTCACCAACAACTGATGCGTAACACATGACAGTTGGTTGAATAATTACTGAAAGTAAGAACAAGATTGAAAGTCATCATCAAATGCCTTGGGGCATTGTGGTAAAGGTGTGGGTGGACATTGAAATATGTTCTTATTGATCAATAAACCTTCAGATCTGTGAAACTATATAGTGTGGGCATTGAGGAACATAGACTTATTAGCATATGTGTATTTTTACCCTACCTGATTTGAAGAAACAGTTTCATAAAGTGTTGGGAAAATCTTATGTTCAGTAATAATTGAATTCAAAATATTCTCATATCTCCAAATTTGAAAAAATGACTCTAAAATAAAAATGTAAATGCCCGGTGGGCTCTGGGAGGCCTGGTAGATTTGCAAATAAATGGCATTCCAAGTCTTTGCTGTGGGGAGTTCAGTTTGCATCCCATGTATTCCTTCTGTGCTGTGTAGGATTTCTCTGTCTCTACATCGCATCTAGAGGTGCGATGTAGCCAGATGGTTCCCAATTGTTCCTGGATTAGATTTTCACTGGATTCTTCAACTCATATCATCACTCTCCTGTAAGAAAAATGTTCTCACTGTGTATCACGCTATCTGCTATTTTGAATTCCACCCCCTCCCCCATGTTTCCTAAAATGAAAAGGTCATTCTATTTCCCTGAGGAAAGAGGAAACTAATATTTCAAAAAAGCATCCTTGGACTTCAAGGGAAATGCTTTCTAAATGACATCAACATGGGTCTTTAATCAATCTTCTACAATGATTGGGGAAAACACCCTTCATCCACAACAGAATTTTCTTGTTGTTAATTACATAAATCTTTTTGTTTATCACTGCAAATAAATCACCTCATATGTGTTCCCTAACATTCTATTCAAAGGAAAATTATCCTGGCTTTTTTTGGCTTCTCTCTCTTTCTCTTTGTATCTTTCTTCTCTCTTTTTCTTCTTACTTAACAGGTTTCGATTGGTTTAGAATCCTTTCAGCTATAGTATAAGCATTTTAACCAGCTGCTTTTCTGTCACTGTTGAGCTCTTGCTAATGTGCCACCTCCACACTCCACCATGGCAGGAGCCCTCATGTGTGGGCTTTCACAGGGGCGCCTACCACTTCTACTGGGACCTCCTTCACACAGCAGCCCTTCTTTCGGCTGGGACGTTTGGGATTCCTGCCAAAACCTCTGGGGACACTTGTCACATTTTTTCATTTCTGTGTAACTTTTTTTGTTCTCTCTTCCCTCTCCTTTTTCCTTTTACTACAAGAAGCACAGTTATAAATTAATACTTTATGCTCGACCAAGCAATTTAATCCCACTAAAGGAACCTGATGTCAACTGACATTAATCACAGGTTAATTTTTAGGGTTATTTCTGGATACAGTTAAAGTTTGGCTGGTTTTCCTTAGGAAACGACTTTTAGTCTCATTTAAATTCTTTGGAAGTGGTTCCCAGCAGCGTTCCTTTCTCTAGACCAGACTAGTAATCATCTACAGTGCTCCAACATTTTACAGGAAAGAGAAAAACAAAATTCTCATACTCCCTTTTTTAAGGATGTATGTTACAGGTGCATCATACATATTTTTTGGAGCAGGTGGATCAAAGTTTTATTCAACGGTCTTATGTTGGTACATGCTACAGAAGCATCAGAAATGGAGACCTGTTCTCATTTGGATATAAAGTTTCATTTCCTTCCTTCCTTCCTTCCTTCCTTCCTTCCTTCCTTCCTTCCTTCCTTCCTTCCTTCCTTCCTTCCTTCTTTCCTTCCTTGTCATTGTTAAAACTGCTTCACAAATTCACATAGTTGTCCCTCTTAATTTAGGTTAAGAAATTAATGGTATTTTATCTGCTGCAGTTGATTGCTTTTCCTCTATACCATGACTATTGGCCAAAATAAAACTTGAACTTCCACACTTTGAAAGAAAGCACAGTCTGAACCTTTAATCTAAGCACCTACATTCACCACCAAACACCACCATAGAGCATCAGCAGAGAAAATGTACAAACTTGGTCCAGTGTAGGAGTCTTCAAAGGTGTGTAACAAAACATGCGTTATGCCATTTGACATGACTTTGGAAAATGTTATGAAATGTTAAAAGCCTCATTCTCTATTAATTTGCATTTGCTGTTTTATGATACAAAATAAACTTATTTGAGATTGTTTCATTTTTTAAAAGGCCATCTATATGTGAATCATGGTGGAGCTTTTTTAGAAGGAAGTAGCATCGCCTTCCCTTCATTTGAGTGAGGAGATGGAATTTGGTTGCCTTGTTGGAATGTTTGGGGATTGCTGACTATTTCCTCACCGGCCCAGTGAACATGCCACACTTTTCTTTCAGATCTTATATTCAATGTGAAATACAAATTTCCAGTGGTCTTCAATTTTGCCTTTCCTGTTCATCAATTCACTGGTCTTAAATGCTCCCTTAAGAGCTGTCCAGGTTGATACTTAAGAGAGTCATTTAATGACACTTGACAAATGCATTGCTTTCAAAAAATCAGTTGAAGACACCAATTGTGGCAGCCCAGGCAGGGAACTCATTGCCTATTTCATTGGGTCAATTATGGGAGTTTAGAGAAGGAAGGGGTGGGCAGGGGGTTACCCAACTAGTCAGCAGAAACCAACTCACATTCTCCAGCCTCAACTTTGAAGAAAACAACATAAGTTTAAATGAGCAGTTGCTACAGAAGTGAAAATGCCATGCTCATTCACTGCTCTTGGTAAATTGCCAATTCCTATAACCCAAACTTATTCATCTTTTTTAAAAAACAAGTCCATTAAGAATGTTTCAAAGTACTGCTAACAGTGCAACAATCTTTGTTTCATAGTAACCCCCTCCTCACCTCGGTCTGGGACAAAATAAGGGAATCTTGATTATGTACAGTATAAATTGTATTATATTTTTTGTACTTAGGTGTTATGTAAATAGTTTGTCTCATTCAATTGTATGTGAGCAGTGAAATAAAGCCTACCATTTAGGAAACAAGTTAGTGGCATTTTTCTTTGCATAGCGTCAAAGTCCCCTGCGTCCCCTGACGTGCTAAGGAGCAAGCACTACTCAAAGGAGAGCGCTTCAGCAGAGTGAGGCTGGGTGGCCGCCTGGGTAAACCCCAGCATATGCTCCTGTTGGTTCTTCAGACCCTGAAGCCTCTCAAGTGGTGGCAAATGCAGGGCCAACCAGCTTCATGATTCTGTGAAGTAAAGAACTTTCAGAAATATTTCTATGGACAATAAACATTGTGTGGCAAGGAAAACTAATCAGGTTTTTATCTTTTTAATAAAATTTTTTTTAATTTTTACCAGAGAGAAAGGAGAGGAAGAGAGAGATAGAAACATCAATGATGATTGAGAATCATTGATTGGCTGCCTTTTGCACACTCCGCACTGGGGATCTAGCCCGCAACCTGGGCATGTGCCCTGACTGGGAATTGAACCCTGACCTCCTGGTTCATAGGTCAATGCTCAACCACTGAGCCATGCCAGCCAGGTGCCAATCAGGTTTTTAATTTATAAGTAGCTGGTATCACATACTGTTGATGATTGAACTGTAAAATTTTATTATGCTCATCTCTCCTGCACACCATATTTCATTCTTTGCATAAAACAAGTTTTTTGTAGAATAAACCTCTATCAGTCAGCATAGACCCAGCTAAAAAGATGCCTGGCTGAGGAAAACTATTGGGATCTATATTTCAGTATTCATGCTCTCTCTCTCTCTCCAATATCTACAATTACATCCAATATATACATATGTATCCTATCTAATAAAGATTGAATAGGCAAATTGAGCATCCCACCGTCACAAAGATGGTGGTGCCCATAGCCACAAGATAGCGGTGCCCAGTCCCCTCAGCTCCTCCAGAGTCCCCCAGTCCTTTCAGCCCTGCCTGGGGGGGAGGGGCAGGCTCACAGTGCAGCCGGACCTGCCCTCAACCCTCCAGCTGCCCAGGGCCAGCCCAAGGTGCAGGCAAGCCTCGGGCGTCGGCTGCCCAGTTGCCCAGGGCAGGCCTGAGGCCCAGACAAGCCTCAGATGGTGGCTGCCCAGCTGCCCAGGGCCACCTGAGGCTCAGGTAACCAGGACCGGCCGAGACTTACACTGCTGGCAGTGGCAGCAGCAGAGGTGTGATGAGGGGAGGGCGTTGCCTTCCCCTGATGGCCGGGTTGCCTCCTGCCTCTGAGGGCTCCTGGACTGTGAGCAGCCTGGGCCGAGGGACCACCCCCTTCCAGTGCGTGAATTTTCATGCACTGGGCCTCTAGTGTATATATAAACATGTATATAATTTCATATATATGTATATATAATTTTCAATTGAGCAAAAGGTTGAAAAGTATTTACTATAGAGGCCAAAATTTAAAATAAAACTATATAAAAATATAAAGTAATGGTATGTTGAGAGAATGAAAGGCCCCATGGGCAAGGACTGGAGATTTATTAAGGATGGATTGTTGCCCATCAGCAAATGTCGAATTGCTAAATCCGGAGGTCAGGACACAGGGGTGATCTCTCAGTGCTAGAAAATAGCCAACTGTCTTGTTTGTCTCAAAACCCATCACTGTTAAATTTACAATTTAGCAGGTTATTTTCTGAAAGCTGTTCAGACAACAAGTTTCAACAGTGCAATGAAATTGAAATGGGACCTAGGTCACAATGAACCTTATTGTTGAACTGTAGAAGGAAATTTGGAAGGTCATCCTTTTTGAGACAATGAGATGTTATGCAACCCAGATGGAAATGTCCTTTGATTGTGTTTTTAGTACCCTGAGGGATGACAGCTCACCTACCTTGCCAAGTTTAATGTGGCTAATGAAAAGACAAGAATAAGATGCTTGGGGACAATGGAGAGGATGGGATTTAGGGATAAAGTGCAGGTGTGCCTTAATCCTACATGTGCAGGACCATAACTGGGCATTGTTGTTTACATAATTTTAACAACCTGAAACAAAAATCAGGTTAACACATGTAACTCACAAATGGATTCATTAGACAAAATATTGCCAATTTTTGTCGTTTGCTACATTGCATTGTATTTTCCCTTTAATGATTAGATATCTTGAACAGGAAAACTATTTTTCTTGGAAAAGCTGGTCTTCATTGATCTCTATCACCTGTGAAATATTGTGACCAGTTGATACCAAGGCCTCTTTTCCATGCTGTCCTCTCTGCACACAGGGATGCAGATTGTATGTAAGGGAATAAAATATATTTACTGAAAATTTGCAATACTGAACGCTTTGCCATCCAGGAAGTTCTACCACAAATGCATAGTGTTCCTAAACTAAATATTTTGTTAAAACAGAAGTTTATAAAAATTCCAGTGGAGATGGGTAAGGTCTTCTGAATATTGGGACAAATGCACACTCAGCAGCCTATGTGTTTCCCCTGTGCATTTCAGTTTCAAACAAGGATGCCCTGTTGAGGGTGGCTGTCTCCTTTCTCCAAGTTCCACTCAAGTCCCTAAGATTCCCTGCTCCCAGTTTAGCTGGGCAAAGAATATGAAGTGCCCTGAGCTGCATGAAGCCACAGTCACCCATTTGTCATGACCTGTGTTGGGCACTGTCTTGTTTTTACCATAGTTGCCTATGGACAAGACTGATCTTCCAGCTAGATTAAGGAGATGTATGGGTACATGCTTCTCCCTGGCTTATACCCAAGTTCATGGTGCTTTTCTGCACTTGACGTGGGTTTGGAGTGTTAGAGAGAACAGGGAGTGCTGAAATAAAGAGATGTCATCAATAAAAGTCTACAGGCTGCACCAAGTATATTTTATCAACAAAGCAGAGAGCAGATCTGTGCTGCATGATTGTGCATTATGACAAGGAAAAATATCAGCTTTTTTTTTTTCCATGTTCTGGAAGAATTTCATTGCTTAAATACAGGGGAACTGTTCACAGTGCTGTTATTGCCCTGTTGAGGGTGGGGATGGGGATTACAAGCATCACTGAGGATCCCAGGACTAATCCTTTCACATTCCAGAAGCCACTGTGGAGAGTCAACCTCGGGCAGAGCTTTGTCATGGGGGCAGTTGGGGATTCAAGATGATGACAGGAGCTCATAATTCATTATGTGTTTATGTAAGAACACCAGGGAGACATTGATCTATTCTGAGAGTACAGTAAAAATTGATGGATTAATTCAGAGGTGGGGGATTCCAGCTTCCCACTGGGTCCTGTAGAAGGAAAGAAGGAAGACCATTTCTTCACACCTCTTTATTTCAGCAAAGTGATATGAGGAGCTTATTAGATGGGGCTATCTTCACACCATGTGCTTTCCTGTGACTCAGCAGGGAAGAAAGTTTCCCTTGTGCATTTCAGTTTCAAACAAGGATGCTCAGCCCTAGCTGGTTTTGCTCAGTGGATAGAGCATTGGCCTGTGGACTGAAGGGTCCCAGGTTTGATTCTGGTCAAGGGCATATACCTTGGTTGCGGGCACAACCCCAGGAGGGGGTGTGCAGGAGGCAGCTGATCGATGTGTCTCTCTCATCGATGTTTCTAACGCTCTATCCTTCTCCCTTCCCCTCTGTAAATAATCAATAATATATATATATATATATATTTGTAAAACAGATGCTCAGCACAGTTCTAGAAAGTCACCCCTTCACTTAAATATAGTTTTCCCTCACTTGGAAATGATTATCTCATGGAAGTCTTAAAAAAGACTGTGAATTAAAATAATTTGAATTAGCAGACATGAATTCTGAAAAATTGGGGAGTATACTTTAATAATTTGAGATTTTAAAATTTTAAGATTTTAAATTCTAAGCTCGATTTTAAAAGGACATCCTTTTTTTACTTGTCAAGTACAGTTGACATTCAATATTATTTTATACTACAGGCCCGGTTCATGAAATTTGTGCACGGGGGGGGGGGGGGGTGGTGAGGGGCGGTGTCCCTCAGCCTGGCCTGCGCCCTCTCATAGTCTGGGAGCCCTCAGGGGATGTCCAGGACCCCTGGCTCCTTACTGCCCGCCTGCTCGCTGCTCCTTACCACTCAGCTTGCTGCTCCTTAGCGCTGCCTCAGAGGTGGGAGAGGCTCCCGCCACCACGGCTGCGCTCCCTGGCCATGAGCCCAGCTTCTGGCTGAGCAACACTCCCCCTGTGGGAGTGCACTGACCACCAGGGGGCAGCTTCTGCATTGAGTGTCTGCCCCATGGTGGTCAGCGCACATCATAGCGACCAGTCATTCTGGTCATTCTGCCATAACGATCACTTAGGCTTTTATTATATAGATTAGCTTCAGGTGTACAGCATAGTGGTTAGACATTTATACAATTTACAAGGTGATCCCCCATAAGTCTAGTACTCACCTGCCCCCATATTATACATAGTTATTGCAATATTATTGACTATATTCCCTATGCCCTACTTTACATCCCAGTGGCTATTTTGTAACGATCAATTTGCATATCTCAATCTCTTTCCCTTTTTTCACCTAGCCTTCTCCCAAACCCTCCCCTCTGGCAACCACAGGTTTGTTCTCTGTATCTATGAATCTGTTTCTGTTTAGTTTGTTCAGCCCTCAAGGTCCATCCAAGTAGTCACCAATTTGGCTTCTTTCATCTTTAACCATAATCTTTTCCCCAAGCTGCTTTGGTGATTATCCCATTTCCATCATAGATGCCATCATGTTAGATACAAGGACCAGCCCTGCTACAGAATTAGAAAAATGAAAGAGCTAACTGAAGAGAGGATTTGAGGCAGTGTTAGCCTGTAGATTTTCTCTCCAGTTAACATCTACTTTTTTTGAACTCTGTTCTTTATGAATGAATTTTATCTCTTTAAAATTTTTTCTTTACATCTAATATGTCTAACATAAGACATAGCAGGTCTTCCATGAAACCTCGATTAGAATTTTTTTAAATGAATAAATAAATTAATAGGATAATATTCTTTTGGGGCCATTTGATATTCCTAACTCCACATAATTTAAACTCACAACAACATGTAGGTTGATGGTTTGTTACAACTGCTCCAACTCAGCACATCG